CGGTTTCCGGGAGTTACCAAAAGCAGAAAAAGGATTGGTTGTTTCCCTCTAACCCACCACTTAGGGGGTGACTTTGATCACCACTAAAATAATGAGGCCTGGACAGTGGTGGCACTCTTGTAATGTTTGAGAACCCGCCCCCATGTCCCCTCTCGAGGAGTCCTCCGACTGGAACCAAAGCCGGCGGCCTGCGCGGGAAGAGGAGGAGGAGGAGCCGCCTCCGCGCCGCCAAAGGCGAGAGGAAGAGGCGCGAAGGGCCGCTTGGGCCATCTACTTATCCTCTGCTTTGAGCATATCTTTTTGAGGAAATCCATGGGTTTGGTTGATTCCGTGTCCACTCTTTTTACTCGTCGTTCCTTTCAGCAAGCCCCCTTTCCTTGATTATTAACAACACATGTCCTTTGGTCTGGTTATTTTGGCAGTTTTCTGGAAAGGGCTCCTGGAAAGGGCTCTTAGAAAGAAAGCGTCGAGCCAGAACTTCGGGTGTTAAGCCACGACACATGGCAACTAACCCGCTGGCTTACTGCAGGGAACCTCCACAGCTGTGAACCTTGTTTAGTTACTCCAGTCATGAATGGGGCTTTAGCCTTACTAAGGGGTGACACATCCACCTCAGGGACGCAACTGGAGCACTCCCAGCCATCGGCATTGCCGGGTGAGAGCAGTGGAGGACAAGAAAGCATTCCAGTCTATGCCTGTGGTACTGCACATGTTTTGCATAGCTGAGTCTCTGCAATATTGTAAAGCAACTCCCCCAAACCGCTTTGCCAGCTTGCCTTGGCCTTTGGTCGGGAAACCGGGGCTTAGCACAACAGGGGCCTGTGCAGGCTAGCGAGCCGACCACGCGGGAGGAGTGGCCCCCAGGCTGCAGCGAGGCGTTTCCCGCTCGTGGGAGCCATCCGGCGTCCCAAAAGCAAGTGAAAGGCACGGCCGTTTGTGCCCAATCCTTTGGGAAACCTACATGGTTCCCCCGTTCTGCGCCCCTGTGAGATGGCATTCCCAAAGTTAACAAGACGTTGGCCCTTTCCGAGCCTCTTCAATGGTCTGAAACAATGGTCACTAAACCGAGTCGCCCAAGGGCCCCCTACCCAAATGAGCTGCAAAGGTCGGCATTCGAGGGGTTCTATTCTTCTGTTTCGCCCCTCGGCCCTCGAGTCAGCCGAGGATGAAGGCCCAGGATCGCTTTTTCGGGCACCTGAAGCCTTTGCCCCCCGACTGGATCCGCTGCAAGTCGAAGAGCAGCAGCCGCTCGGCCAAGAGCGGGGCGACAGGTGCCGAGGATGGACCTTTGCTCCAAGATGGGGTTGATGGTGGCGCTTCAGATGGCTGGCAGGATTTGCTTTTCTTGTTCTCTTTTTTCTCCCACAGGTTTGTGAGAGGCATGAGGGCCGTTTGGAGGGCCTGCGTACTTCGACGGGAACTCGCTGTTCAATTTCAGGCAAGAAGTCGGGCCATGTAAAGGAGCTGACCTGTCGTTGTCTTTTATGACCTTGGTGATGTTTCAATCTTAGCGCGGATCGGCGCTTTGTTTTGTGTCAGGATCCATCTACTACTACAACTTCCGCACTGGGGTGTCCCAGTTTGAGGAGCCGACCAGATGATGTACGTTGAATCTGTGGCTTCGGATTCTCTGGAGCCATGCTCGGTGAGAGGATTCATTCCTCCTGCGGCAGGTCAGTGGCAACGGGGTGGGAGTTGAGTCAGAGGCACAGAAGTGGGAACTTTTGTATTTGGGGTGGGTGGGAGGGTTTGTCTCAAGATAGGGGACCCCTCAAGAGGGGTGGATTCCGTTCAGAACAACAACAAGCCCAATCGGGGCACCGCCCGCCTAGATTTTTCGGTTTGGTGTGAAGGCGCAGGGCTACATCTGCAACATCATCAGTAGCAGCCTACTTGACTCGTTGACTCGTTGGAGAATCCTCATGGCTCCTGACTCAGCTCTCCCAGCTTAGCAGCTGAATGAAACCATTCTACCGCGAAAGCGTGGAAAAGGCGTGTTGTTGCGCAAGGGTTTCCTCAACAAATATACCTTACACAGACTTGCAGGTTTCGAGATTTGAAGGGATTTTTTGTTAATGTTGAAACGCATGTGGAAACATGAATTTGTGTCTGAAATGCTTGACCATAATGGCCCCGGCCATTTTGGCTCAAGCTTTGCCCTTGGGTTCTCTGAACCCAACTTGTGTGAAAAATTTGAGGTGAAACACTTCCGAACTAACCCCGAACCAGCAATGGCCTCCTCGGCAACTTCGGCAACTTCCTTCGAGTTGATTGAGGACCAGATGCTCACCGCGGAGGAGGTGGAAATGGCCAGCCAGGAGGCCCAGGAAATCCGCACACGCGAGGCGGCAGTGGCGGCCGGCCTGGTGTTGGATGAGCCCGAGGCCCCCCCGTCGGCATCGGCCACCGACGTGATGAACGACCTCTCCAGTGCACTGGAGCGGCTCCGTGTGGCCTTCTCCACACCGACTTCCGGCCTGGGTGCCCCTGGCCCCGCCGAGGAAGAGGACAAGGAGATGGGCGATGCGGACGCCACGGAGCGGGCTACTCCACCAACGAAGAGGCTGAAGGGCTTCGTGGCGGCTTCCCAGAAGACCACGGCCCCGGTGAACAAACCGGTCTCCCTGGTGCCGGTGGAGGGCCGTCCTGGCTACTTCAAGTTAGTGGACCTCCCAGACCTCTTCCCGGTCCTTCCGGCATCGGCGGCCACGTTGCTGAGGGACGTCACGGTGGAGGAGGCGGTCTCCCTGTTCCACAAGTTTGTCGGGAAGAATCTCACGGAGGACTTGGTGATTCGCATCCTGGAGGCCTATGTTCCGATGAAGATCCAGATCCGGCAGGAGGAGGTCTGGGCCTCACAGTTCCAGAGGAATAAGGCGTGCATTGGCACCCAGCGGATGCACAGACTCGATGCCGGCCACTCAGACTACAAATTCATGTGTAAGGCATGCGGCACCGGAGGCAGCCAACCAATGCTGGGTCTGCCCGGGCAACAAGTTTGTCCCCTTCCAGGCACCCTCGGCTACCTACGAGGCGGACGGCGTCACTTACAGCATCGACGAGGGGGACAAGATCCGCACGATCTACGATGGCTCGGTGGGAGGGGCCAATGACACCATCAGGAACCAGACGGTGGAAAGGACGACGGCTCCGACGGTGCTGGATGGGGTCCAAGCTCTCCATTGGCTACATGCGGCAGCTGCGGAGGGACCCCCCTCTCAGGGTGCCCCTGGCCCCGAGAGGGGGGTCGTCAAACCTCCACCTGGGGGCTGGCTATGGCCGGAGCCGGGCACCAGGTGGGTGCTCAAGGCGGACGTCACCAAGGCCCACCGGAGAGTGAAGGTCCTCAGGAAGGACTGGCGGTTCCAAGTGGCCTCACTGGGGGAAGAAGGGTGGGTGAACAAGGTAGGCACATATGGCATGGCCAGTGCCCAATCCTACCTCGGACTCCTTTCAGCCCTTCTGCTCAGGGTCCTCTACGCACTTTTCCCTCAAGTGGATTGGAACTTCGTCTTCGTCGATGACTTCCTGTGGCTGCTTCGAAGCGAGGGGGCAGTAAACCTGGCGGTGGCGCTGCTGGCCACACTCCTGGCCTTGGGCACCCCGCTTAGCTGGAAGAAGACGCATCTGGCGGAGGTTAACACGTGGCTGGGCTTCGTGGTCCACCCGAACATCCCGCAGGTTCTCATGGCAGCCAACAAACACATCCTGAGTATGGAGGTTTTGCAGACCAGGGTGGAAGGGCAGGCGACGCACTCAAAGGACATCGAGAAGGCCCTGGGTCGCATCCAATGGGCAACTGCTGCATGTCCGCTGGCAAAGTCGATGCTCCAGCCACTTTGGGCCTGGAAGATGGCCACCACCACGGTGGGGAAACCCCCCAAGGTGGTCAGGATGCTGGCGTTCATGCTGCGGTTCCTCTTCAACACGCCTTTCGTCCAGTACTCCCCTTACTTGCCGAAGTCCTCTTGGAGGGGTTGCAGCGATGCTAGCGCCTCGGACGACGGACTGGCATTTGTGGGAGGTTGGTGCTCCAACAAAGTGGAACCGGACAAGAAGGAGGTGTACTGGTTCCATGAGCAGATCCACGTGGAGGAGTACCCTTGGGCTTTCAAGAATGGGGATCCCAAGCGGAGGATTGCAGCTCTGGAGATGCTGGGCACGCTCTTCCTCTGTAACATGATCCTCACGCACCAAGGCCCTCTGTCCTCCCGGGTCCGACTCCCGGTGGGCAGTGACAATCAGGGCAACGTCATGGCGATGCTCAACCTTGGATCCAAGAAGCCCTACACGGCGGCGATCCTGATGGAGCTGGTCTTCCTGCTCCACACCCATGGCTGCTCGCTAGCGGCCAACCACGTGCCCCGGGAATTCAATCAATGGGCTGATGAGCTGACGCACCCAGATTTCTCTGGGTTCGACCCTTTGCAAAGGGTCCCCAAGCAGGAACTCTGTGAGGAGTTTGTTTTTCTCCCTCGTCTCCTGAATGGAGATGCATTTGATCTCAGCGTGGGCCCACCCATGCTCCCGTGACCGGAGCCGGTGGGTGACTCACTTCCCCTGGTGGCAGACCCCCCTGTGGCCTGGGTGCCACGGGCCCCGGCTCAGGGGCGGGCGCTATCAGTCTGCACACCCGTTCTTCAGTTTTTGAGAGTTATCGCGTGCCTGTGTGTGGTGCCGTTTGGTCAGCTTGCATACACATGACATTCCCCGAAAACGTTAATCTTTTGGCAGGGGAAGAAAGTTCAGAACATGGTCTTTTACAGGCAGAACCCTAAACTGTGTGGGTCTTCAGCACGTTTGACCTTTTCGCATTCAGAGGCATGGCGGGATGTTCCACGGCCCACTTTCGTCGTTTGATCTGGGAACATCCACCTGGCGTGTTTGTCGATTGTCTACGCCACCTGCGGCAACTGTCCGGTCCCGCCTCAGGCTGGATTGGCGCAGACAGAGGTTTGTGAAGCTATCAGCTTGGGCCATTGAGCTCCGTTCTTGGGCAGGACCAGGGCAAGGAGGACAGCGGTGGGAGCAGTCTGAGGCGGGACAGCTCGGATTTTCAGCTGGCCAGGCTGCCCCCCGACAAGCGCCCTGCCTTTGCAGGGCCCAAACCAGCCGCCAAGACCTCTCATGCCCTTGCCGGGTTGCTTGGCGCCTCATATTTTTATGAACGTTCTGCTGGGCCGACTCCACAAGAGGTTTCCCTACAACCAAGCAAGCCGAGGAACAAAGGAACCACCTCACGGACCTGGGCATCGCACCTTTTTCCATCAAACCTGCGCGGTTTTCCCAGAGAAAAGCCCATGGTCCCGCGGTGCCTGGCGCAGGTCCCAACTGCCGCCGCGGGTCTTTGAGGAGCTCCGCAGAAGCCCCGGGCAACCCCAGGAAGCTACAGGGGCATGGCATCAAGAACGGGATTTTGGACCCCCAAAATTTCATTCACAACGCTCCACATGGACTTTGTATGTCGGGCTCGTACCTCACTCGTTTGTTTGTTCCCTAGGAAAGCTGTTATGGGGTGGCGCCATAGACACGTAGAGACTTGCAGGCTATAAAGACAGAATGTGAAAGGCGAAGGTAGATTCTGAGGGTCACGGAGCAGAGGAGCCGGGGCCAATAACATGTATCAACACCCTGGATTTGGAGCCGAAGAGCCCGGCTATCGCGAGCCCTTCGCTAGAATGTCATGAGCCAACCCTGCGATGGCTTGATTTGTCGATCCCCAAGAATCGGTACGTGGGGCTTCTGTTTCGTTTCGTTTGGCACTCCCTTGGAAGCTTGGCCGAGGCCAGGACGCAAGGCGCCTGCTGGCTGCCCGGAAAACGGAGCGTGGCAGCCCGATGTGCAGAAACCTTCGGGGAGATGCCAAGGGCACTGTTGTTTCAATTTATTGTTTGTCTGTCGTTTATTTATTTGTTCATTCATTCATTCATTCATTCATTCATTCATTCATTCATTCATTCATTCATTCATTCACTCACTCACTCACTCACTCATTCATTCATTCATTCATTCATTCATTCATTCATTCATTCATTCATTCATTCATTCATTCATTCATTCATTCATTCATTCATTCATTCATTCATTCATTCATTCATTCATTCATTCATTCATTCATTCATTCATTCATTCATTCATTCATTCATTCATTCATTCATTCATTCATTCATTCATTCATTCATTCATTCATTCATTCATTCATTCATTCATTCATTCATTCATTCATTCATTCATTCATTCATTCATTCATTCATTCATTCATTCATTCATTCATTCATTCATTCATTCATTCATTCATTCATTCATTCATTCATTCATTCATTCATTCATTCATTCATTCATTCATTCATTCATTCATTCATTCATTAGTTTATTCGTTTTCTTATCTTCTGTATTTATTTATTCATTCATTTTATGTATATATATATATATGTATACTTTTTTTTTTTTTTTTTTTTTTTAAACTGTATATATATATATATATGTAGCACATGCATATTAGTTTTTTCTTCTTCCTTTTTTCTTTGTATGTATTTTATTCTTCTTATTTACTCATGCATGTATTTAGCTACCCATTTGTTCATGTATCTATATTATAATTACATGCATATGATATATTTGTTCATGCATTCAGTAGCACTATAGTTATATGTGTGCATTCATTTACATTTGCAGAGGTGCGTATGTCAACACATCATTTTTGGTTTGTGTACTCCATTTGTTTTCTCAATGTTTCTGACGGTCTTTTGTGTCATTTGCCCGCTTTCGGTCTGTCCGCTTGCGTTTTTCTATCAATTTCTTGAAGGGTTTATAGGTTCTAGGTACCCATATTCTTTTTCTTCTTCTTCCTCTTTTCTCTTGACACAGCGGCAAGTTGCGCCGTGGAGGAAACCACACACACACACACATGAGAGACATGAGTTTGGTACGAGAGGAGGGTTCGGAGCCTTGGTCTGCTGGCACTGTTTTGCCAGTCGGGCCTCCAGCCCCCGGCTTTCTCAGCAGCAGAACCAGCAAGCAAAAATAGGTCTCATGGGCGCCCTGAGTTTGCACTTGAGGGTTGGGTGGGGGGACATTCTCGCGCTTTGTGATTTGAAGCTCAAGTTGGAGTGGTGACTGTGCGGTTAGTGCCATTGGCGCACGCGGCGCTGGGATTGGAGCGCTTAATCGTTGGGGAGACTTTAGCGGGACGGTCTGTGGGGCTCGGATGATTGGATTTTGGCCAACTGGACTCTTCACTTTGTTTGGATCTTTGATCGGCGCGGAGTCTTGCTGGGCAGGGGGGGCTCCTCATTCTCTGCTCAAATGATTGGACACCAAGATGTTGGCTTCTTGTGGGATCTCCACGCACCTGGAACAACATGAGAGTTTCTCGTTCCCATGACCTCCACTTAGGTCCATGACACCGCCGCAGCTCGAGGCGGAGGCAGCCTCCCAATTTTGATGTTTTTGGGGTGTTTTTTTGGGTTTTCGCGAGGGGTTGCTGGGTGTGAACTGGGCCGTGTGAGTTTTTTGAGGGGCTATTTTTGTTGGTTTTAGAGGGTAAGCAGCGTTTGGTTTTGAAGGACAGCATCGATTTTTTGCCCCCCCCCCCCCCCTGTTTGGACATATGCCGAAATAGCAGGTTCCATTTTGTAAGCTTCCCTAACGACACTAGGTAGCCTGTTCATGTTTCCAGGTGACCCCTTCCAGCGCTGGGAGTGTGCAGTTGCAATGACGGTCCACGCAGCCATTTCTAGGGCTCAGATTCCCAGATTTTTGATATCCGTTTCGCAATTCGACAAGATGAGCCTTTGGCTCCCAGCCTGGAGGCTCATGTTTGTCAAGTCACCTTTTCAAGGACAACTTCCGGTCCTCTTCAGGATTTCTGCTGCTCGCTTTGCCCTCCGAGAGTTCTCAAAAAGGCCCGACCACACGCACCTTCTTGTGGACGCAGACAGTCAAAGTATCGAGCAGATCAAGGGTGCCATGAAAGTGTTTGACAAGAATAAACTCCAAGCGCATCCCCGTGGCGCAGCCAAAGCGCGAAGTGGCACCAGTTCTTTGAGTCTAAGCGCATCAATTTTCGGCCAGTTGAGCGTGTGGGAGGCACCTCGGACCCCACGGACGAAGCCGTCAGATTGGAGGCTCTTGAGGTTGTCAAAGATCGAGGCGTTGGCTGCATAGCCCTCTTGACCAATGACAGGGGCTATACCGACCTCGTGCGCAAGCTCAAATCAGAAGGCAAGGATGTGGTGGTGATCATGCCCAAAGTGCGGTCATATTCTGCCAGGCCATTGTATGAGGCAGAACATGCCAAAGTGGTTAGCTTGGATCCGCAGAACGAGTTGCTGCTACGGGTCATGGCCGTACTTGAAGCCGACGGGTCGGGACGGGTTAGCTTGTTGAACCGGCCCCTCTCTCCGGATGGACCTCTCAAGGAACATGCGCAGCTCAGATGCTTTTTGGAGCGCTTGCACTATGCACGTGATGAAATTTCTTTGGTACCATCAATTGCCAAGTTTTGGCAACAACATTCACTTGGCCCTCTGCCAATTTACCCAGGAGTCCTGGCATTGAAAAGCCTGGGCGAGCTGCTGCTTTCGAAAACTGCGGATGTTAAAGCATGGCAACATTATGACTCTGAACTGGCCTTCGTGCTGCCTGTGAGCGGGAAGACCGGCAGGCCTCCCATGCATGACCTGCAGATGTATGGCAGCAGCAAGGCTACAAGGGTTTTTCAGGGCGGCGGCCCTTTCATGTTGACCGACTCAGAGGATCTGGCAATGCGTGTGATGGCTCGGCTTGGATACTTGGACGATGGCCTTAATGCGGACCCCGCAGAATCTTTGATGGTCTTGCCAACAATACGACGAACAAAAAGAACCATCGGAAAAAGACAGTCTTACCAAAATCTTCAGACACGTGTGACGATGTCTTGCAGAAGATTCGTGGAGCGCTGTTGTCAAGCGCAGGTGGTGGAACCTGGGGGATAGCTCCCAGAGACCAACAGGTGAAGCAGATGCTCCGGGCTCGCAAACTTCTTGGTGCCAAGGATGACTCGCCAGAGAAAGTCTTTGATGCGATGAAGGCATATTCACAGAAGAGGACCTACAATGGATATGTTTGGCAGATTCCTCACCAGCAGAGCGAATCAGATCCAAGTCGCCGAGATGTGGTGCTGAGCAGCTGGTCGTAAGGATGCACGCAAGCGACGCAAGCGATGCAAGCGATGCAAAAGGGCCTGAACATCTTGGGGCTGAGATGTCATCAGTTAATGGTGTGCGTGCATGAGAGGATTTTTGGCTGCTGATTTTGATTAAGCATCAGAGTTATGCGGTTCACGTTTGTAATCAGCTGAATGTTTTCACCGGCTTGCTCAGCAAGTCAATCGCGGCCTGAATGCACTTGCGATTGCCTAGCCAGATCTCTCTACATGCAAACGTGGCATCACAAATCCTGCTGACATGAGCATACACGCGGTAGTCGACGTCATTTGTGGTTGTCTGGCAGGGCACAGTGAGAGCACAGACGCACCTTCCTTGACGGGCCATCAATGTCTGCCCAGTGTTTCCCTTGTTCGGTGATTCAAACATCAGGTCTTGAGCCAGGTTTAGGATACCGTCTCCTTCTGGTGATTAGGTGGCTTTGCATTTTTTGGGGATATAAACATTAGCGTGATGCTTAATGTTGACCCCATATTAGTCAACCCTAGTTTATTAGTAGGGGAGTGTGCCTGGGTTTAGTGGGGAATCATCACTTTTGGAGGGGAACACCCCCTACTAATAAACTGCTGCTGTCGGCCTTTGAGAGAGCGCAGGGAAATAAACTGGGGTTGATTGAGTAATATTGCGGATGGACAAAATGCTGCACCACCTAAGAAACCATGGAATGGTTTCCCATGGTTTCTTGGGTGGTGCGCAATGGATTGCATCCATCCACAGTATGGGGACAACGTCCAAACCCCACGAATCGCAGAGGTGCTGGACTTCCTGCGGCGGTCCTGGCACAACATCCTCGAGGGGCCGGGGGCTGCGGGCGAGTGGGGCAGGTGAGTGACCGAGGACAGCAGGGTGCCCTCCCCCCAAGTGGTTCCATCTTGGGTTCTCCTTCCAAAGAGGGCAACCTGAAAAAAACACGCTCCCAAGCGACGCGTGGTTCTTACTTTGCCATAAGGATGCCAAAAAGGGAGAGCTAGTCGGAGATGTTAACTGTTTGACAAGTAGAGGGGAGGTCGGGGGAAGATGGAACGCGACCTCGTGTGAAAAGACCACGTTCCATCGGAAAGTGCGCATCATTCCTGGCCACAGCAAGCTGAAGCTGGTTTCTTGGTACATCGCACCCATCCAATATCTCGGACCCAGCTGAAATATCAAGAAAGGCGATCGTCGGCTTCTTTGTTGAAGGTGGGAACCGTATGGCTGAACCTGTTCGAGTTTCCAGAGATTTTCAAACTACTTGAGATTCCTCGCAGGTGTTCGTCCCCGTCCTAATTGCCACAAGTGCTGGAGGTGTCCTGCGCGAATCCGTTGCCCGCCCGCTTACCTGTCTGGCCCGACATGGATTGAAGGGGGCACAATGGATCAACATGCTTTTTCACTGCATGCCCAAAAACTCAAGAAGGCTCAGACCCCCGAGAGCCCTCCCGGGCTTCATTTATCTGGCCGCGCTCGTAGAAGGCCTTGCGAGCGGGCGTGCGTGAATATACAACAAGCTCACATGGGCAGGATGGCTACAGGGGAATTCCCGATTTCCGGTCCGTGACAGGTTGGGCTTATCTGCTCGCTTCAGGGAAGGCATGGCATCAAGGTCGCTGCGGCGCATATCTTGCAGCCCCAGCTAGGTGCAGACGCCGCGAAGTGCCAACCATTTCGCACATGAGGTCGCCATAGCACCCAAGTTGGTTATAAAAGAAGCGGGGCTCAGAGGCTTCTTTGCAATACCCCCCCCCCCCGCCAGCCACCGCGCACAAGCCACGAAGTCGACATAGACATCACTCGGGGCGAAAGTGCGGCTGTTTCGCCTTGCCATGCGGCCGCTTGCGGCTGGTTTGCCTGCCACTGGTGCGCCCACAGCAGTTTTTTTCACAGAAGTTTTTTAGAGCGAGCGCACCCATGAAGGTTCTTTACTAGGGGATGTGTTTTCTCCCTCCAGTTGGTGACTTATATGATTTGCCCAGATTAAAGCTACTGGGTGCCAGGCCTCACTGAGCAACTTGGTTTGAATATTTGCTTTCTTTGCAAGCTGCCATCTTTCATGGCAGGAGGCAAAAAGCGACAAGCCTTTAATAAAAGATCAGAAACACGCGCAGCCTGCGTTCGTTTCTAAAGCCAAATCAAATCCTTTTTCCCCAACAGCTGGAAGCTAGGGGGTCTCAGCCCAGATAAGGTTTGGGGGTGGCTCGGGGGAGCTCTGGTGTCAGGTTCGAGCAAGGTTCCGGAGGTTCGGGGTGGTCTGGCGCAGGCCAGGTGTAAGGTTCAAGGAAGGTTCCGGAGGTTCCGGGGTGGGAAGGTGTAAGGTTCAAAGAAGGTTCTGGAGGGGTGGCCGGTGCAGGCCAGGTGTAAGGTTCAAGGAAGGTTCCGGAGGTTCCAGGCCAGGTGTAAGGTTCAAAAAAGGTTACGGAGGTTTCGGCGGGGTGGTCCGGTGAAGGCCAGGTGGAAGGTTCAAGGCAGGTTCCGGAGGTTCTGGGTGGTCAGGTGCAGGCCAGGTGTACGGTTCAAGGAATCAGGTGCAAGGTGAAGAGCTGAAGACCTTCAGCGCCCAGCTGTTGGGGATACCACCCGAGTTTTTTTGGGGTTTAAACAAACAAACATCACGGCGAGAGCATCTTACGTGGATCCCAGGACCAAGCTGAACAAGCAAGTCTCCCATCTACAGCCCAGATCCACAATTTCCCTTGGTTTCTTGCCATGGCACCGTTGAAGAATCAAGACAACTTCCTGAACCCCTAAACTCCACTCCGAGGCACAGCCGATCAGTCTCCACTGACAAGAAACCTTGTCAGCGTCGGCACTCAAGGAAACGCATGCAGAGTTGGCCATGTGTGAGAGCCGTTCTCATGTAATGGAGCGGGGCTGAGATGTCTATTGCATTACTTGTTTGCATATTTCAACACTCGTTCAATCGTCTATTTAAATTAAGGACCTTCGGTGGATGTAATGCGTCCAGTTGCCATCCTTATTGAGCCCAGCTAAGGGCAGGCGGGTCATCTCAACCCATCTTGAAGCACGTGTCAAGAGAAACGAGAGGATGCGCCTTTTCCGACCCCTGGTTTCACGCTCCTTCGCCAAATGTCGCCTTTGATCAAAGGGCCGTCACGGTGGCTAGAAGATGCCTTCCAGGGCTCTTGGAGGTCTACATTGTCGGGCCTTGGCAGGTACAAATGGCTCCAAAGGCCAAGAGAGCAAAGAAGTCAACTGAAGGCTGGCCTGCGATTCGCCCAGGGCATTCTTGGTTGCTGGGTAGGGTTCATGCATGATCTCAGGCATGGATCCCCAAACGCATCCATCTATCCCACACAGCAAGGGTACATCGCAGAAAGCGTATGGTCTTCTGAGAGTGGATGTGTGCTTGATCTGAACCCAATCCTTTGCGGAAGAACAAAAAGGATGCCGTTTGAGCAACCTCGCTGCTACCAGGGGCCTTTTGTTGCGGCGGACGATGTTGTCTGAGTTGCGCATGCTGCCCCTTTAGCCCCCAAGAAGCTGGTCAAATGCTCCAATACCTTGCGGTTTCAGCTTCGGAGACAGACATCAGCCCCAACACCTCCCAAACGGCCATCCGAACCAGGCCACGTGCCCCGGGCGGTGCAAGAGGACGCCAGCCTGGCGGAGCTTTTGGCGCCCAAGCGGTCGGCCGACGGAGGAAGCCACAAGGGTACCGGGGGCCGTGTTTGGAAACGCTCAGCAGGGTTCCACTTTTGGACTATTTCAATATAGACTTCAACCTGGGGGTTCCCCTTTTCAGGGAGCAATGGACCGCCCCCTGGTTGAAATGTCTGCCCCGACGTCAAAAAGCGGAACCCGGATTTTTTCTCCCGAAAGTGGGAGCTACCCCCCCCCTTGACCGTCGGATCGGCCGTTCGGGTTGTTCCGCGGGTTCGGCCGGTCAGGAGCCAAAGCGCTCAGCCGGCGCGTCTCGGATAAAGCTGGCGGTTTTGCGCCGGGCGGGAAGGCTGTTCTGGCGGGGTGGGGGGGCAGTTGGTTCCACCCATGATGAAGTGGAGATATTCCTTTCTTCTACTTGGCCAAGAACTGTCATTTGTGACAACAAATGGGTATAGTCATAAAGGAAGTTGTGTCCAAGCGGACATGTGGAAGCCGAAATGTTTTTCCATTCCAAAAGGACGCACGGCATTCGGAAAATCATGTGGGCGTGTCTTGACGTAGCAGATTTTGTTGTGGTTTTCCCTGGGCTGCCCTTCTAAACCGGGCCTGGGAAGAGGACTAACCCCGTTTCAGGCATGGCAAGCACCTACTAGCTATTTCAGTGGTTAGCTGCATGCTGCTGCTTGGGTCGGCTGAGGCTCAGCTCCTGAGCAGGTTGGTTCTCAACAAATGCCTACTTCTTGCATACAAAACAGTTTGCAACCTGTTTTGTTTTTTGGGGGGTGTTGTGTTTTCAGGTTCCTGGCTGCAAAATAGCCTCTATATACATGGCGCAACCCCTTCAGGCCTTGTTTGGGACGCTTTGGGGTGCTAGCCGCTGGAATGCGGTTAGTCCCCTTCCCGTAGGTATATCCGACTTCCCGTGCCAGTTCGCTTACATGGGGTGACCATTCGGGAAAAGATTACTTTCAAAACGGAAAAAGCTACCCATGGTGTCTTATGGTCATTGTGGGGCCCTAGATGGAATATGACCAACCCTTTTTATTTAAATTCGGGGGTGGTTTTTGGCCCCTCCAAACGTGGTCTGATTCCCCACAAGAGAAGAAAGCACCTCTAACAAACTGGCGGGTTGATGAGAATCTGGGGTCACCATATCCCACCATGGCAAACTCAGGCTTTATTCAGCTTGAGGTAGGCCCTTTGGCTGCTTTGTTTCGTTGCCGGGCACTGCTGGACCATGACTGGATGCAACGGTGAGAGAGAGAGAGAGAGAGAGAGAGAGAGAGATCTCTAGGGGTTGATTCCCCATTCTTTTCAACCATCGTTCTTTCCAAAAACCGGATCCGTTTCCCTCGGTTT